GGCGAGCGCCCCGGCGGCGAGTCCAGTCAAAGCGGTGCACGCAGCGACGAATTAACCTAAAGCGACGGAGAATGGCCACACCTACAGCGGCTAACCGGGCCCTCGCGCAGCAACTCAGCGGCGGACCGGCGAGTAGGGGGAGAGCAGAAACTGAGTCGTACTGCGTGCGACAAAGGTGGATACGCGATGCGTGAAGGAATTCTCGGTGACGCCCACACTGCATTCGCCTTCCGGTCCAGATCTGCCTGCCTCACATCACGTGTCATGTTTCGTCGTGTGTTAGTGCGGCGCCTGACATCACAGCACTCCGCGAGGTGCCCCGTAATAGCAACATGCTGCCGACGAGGGGGCGTCTTCTAGAAGGAAGTTCCCCACACAGCGTTCGCACAGAACTGGGGGTGGCTTGCGTCACTAAGATATGGGATGGGTGAAGCGAATTGTTTTTAAATGACGAACGGACAACACACACACATACCCATAGGAGGGTCGGCTGGAGGAGGATTTGCTATGGGTATGGGTGCGGGTTGTCGGACCACGGGGTGTCTCCCGTTCGAGCGGGTAACCCCATCCGACAACACGCACCCATAGCCCCCTCCGTCCTCCCTACGGGTCTGGGTGCGTGTTGCTCGTTCGTCATTAAAGTTGATGCCCGTGGCCGCCTCCTGACCGCTTCGTGCGCGGGGTGGGTCTTGCGAGGTTTCGCCACGTTGCCGCCCGTGGCCACCTCGTGGCCGCCTCAGGCGCTGGGTGGGTCTAGCGAGGTTTCGCCACGTTGCCGCCCGTGGTCGCCTCGTGCGCTGGGTCGGTGGCGCCGCGCGTACACTACAAAGTTCACACCACAGAGATTGTACCACACAGCTTCCACCCCGTAGTTCATGCCACATCGAGTACACGAGGTAGCCTACACCGCACAGCTCACACTACATGTATGATCCTTCCGAATGGAAGCGAATCTCCACTACCACCCCCGCCACCGCGCAACAGATTATGCTTACCTCGCCCAGGACTCATCTCACCACGCGGTTCATCCGTGTTCATCTAGCATGCGCCCAGTGCACATCGCCGTCACCCACAGCAGCGCCACCGCATCACCGCCGTCATCATCATCGTCAATCACCACCACTGCCGCCGTCATCAGCCAATCAACCCCACCACCGACCAATGAGCGTCATCATCATTATCATCGTCACCAGCATCGGCGCCATCCTTGGCCCGGCCGTCGTCATCATCATCATCATCCTCCTCCTCCTCCTGCTCCTCCTCCTCCTCCTCCTCCTCCTCATCATCATCATCATCATCATCATCAACATCAACATCATCATCATCATCATCATCATCATCATCATCATCATCATCATCATCATCATCATCATCATCATCATCATCGATACTGCCATCGTCGCTGCCGCTGTTGCCGGCGTCCTCATGATTCGTGATGTCGCGCCCGACCGAATCACCGACATGCACTCCAGTGCCCGCGCGCCGGCGCTGCCTTCGAGACGCGCTGGGAAGCTCCCATCGGCAAGCGCCCCGAAGTGCACTCTGAATGCAGCAGTTCCTCGCCCACCCTGGCGATCTCCTCGTGCCTTCGACGAAGGACGGCTGCAGGCCGTGGCCACCAGGCCTCTGTGGTGCCGGTGCTCACCGGGGATCCCGCCTCGCGTTCTCGGGCGGGGATGACCTGAAACAGCCTCATTGGCGTTCTCTCTCTCTCTCTCTCCTGCGGCCTCTGGAGACCTCTGGCGGCCTCCCTCGACCTCCTGGAACCTCTGGGGGTGTCCCTGGCGACACTGGAATCTACCCCGTCCTTCTCCTCCTCCTCCTCAACACCATCCCCAGGCTGACCGGCTCTCCAGGTCCATGAACTTTGCTGCGGAGTCGTGCCAGAAGTCCGAGTAGATGAACACCACGTCTGAGCCCAGGCCGACCACGAGGAACACGGCCAAGAATGACGCAATGCTCAGGGATGTCGTGCCTACAAGGCGAGGGGTGCCGACGATTGGTCAAAGTCTGGGAGGCGCGGTCGGAGACACGATGCGCGAGCACCAACCACAACACACGGCTGCTGTTTACGGTGATGCCGCTGCGCTACTGCTGCTTTCGATAGGGGAACAAAAAGTGACATAAACATAACAAGTTCCGATTTCTTATGTTTATGCCACCACTCCGTCGGCACTGAGTGGAGTGCCCATGTATCCCCGAGCATGTTGAATCCTGAGCACTGCAATTTCCGAGGAGTGCCCGGTGCTACCAGGCGCTCTCGGGGATCTCCACGTCACTTCTCCAAAGGCTCTGGACGCGTGGTCGGGAATCCGCGCGCCTCGCGCGTCCTAAGACGTCCCAAGGAGACCACTGTGGGGCTCTCTGGGAGGCCGCGTGGGCCGTCCTGGAGGCCCTGGGCGATAGCCCAAGAGGCCAGAAACACCGGCATGCGTGAATGCTTGCGATAATGATGCTTGCACGCTCTCCTCGTGGCCTACTAATGATGCGTGCTTGCAACAATGATGCTTAATGATAACGTCCGAGACGACCCGAGAGGGCCCCCCGCGGCCCCCACGACGGGCGCATCCGGCACCCGAGTCGTGGGTGCCTCGCGGCGACGCGGGCCCGACTTGCGCCAAGAGGGGGCGGGGCTCGGAGCCACCTGCTCTCCACGACCCGAGCAAACGCCCCCACGGCCTGCCGGAGAGGTGCCGGCGAGGCAGACCACAGGAGAGCTGCTCTTCCTGTTCCCGGCGGCCGCCGGCACCACCCTGGGGCCACATGGCCACGCCAAGGTGGGGCTCGACGGCTCTTCCAGCAGAAGAGAGCCTCCAAGACGGCCCCAAGACGCTCCCGAGGCGGCCAAGATGGCCCCCACCGGAGCCCGAGACGGCTCCGAGGCGGCCCGCGATTGCCACGAAGCGGCCCAAGATGGTCCAAGATCCAAGACGACCCAAGAGGCCCCAGTAAGACGCCCCCAGTGGGCCCCTAGGGGACCTCCGGGAGGCGCCGGAAGGCCAAAACTAATTGATTGCCATTCGGTTTTCAGCTGTTTCGCCTGTCTGGGCTTCCTGAAGCCCAAGACGGCCAGACGGCCTGAGAGGCCCCCAGATCGCCCCAAGGGGCTTCCACGAGGGCCACAGCGAGGGACCAAGTTGGCCCCCACGACGGGCCCAAGACGGCCCAAGAGAGCCCCAAGGCGGCCCTGGAGAGCCTCAAGACGGCACTACAGAGCCCGAAGAGGTATCGGAGGGATCAGATAGGCACCCGAGACAGCCTCCACAAGCGCCAGACGGCCCGACAGCACCCTGAGATGGCCAAAGAGAGCCACAGTGTAGCCAAAGGGAGCCACAGGGGGCCCCCCAAGAAGGCCATGGCCTGAAGGTGCCCTAAGGGGAGCCCTAAGAGGATGACCGCAGACGCCCCATCTGCGGTGTTCCCCCAGAGGTTCCTCCAGGCGCTGTGGGAACGCGCTGTCCACTCGCATGGCTGCACCTGTGCTCGATGTTTCACCTTCAGGCGCTTCCAGGATGCAGGCGGCGGCGGTGATCTGCCTTAGGCGACTTCGATACTATGGTCACGCGCGTGACGGGCGCGCTCCCGGCTGTCGCGCGCTACTATTGCTGCTGCTACTGCTGACTGCTGCAACTGCTAGTGCTACTCCTGCCGGTACGGCTGCAGCTAGAATTCCGAGGCGCGAATGCGGCTGGATCGATGGCGGACACACACCATTCCGAAGCAGGAGTGCCGACGGCGCCGACGCGAGAGCACGAATGCCGAGGCAGGACTGCGACTGGCACTGTGGCAAGAGCGCCGTTCCGAGTCGCGGACGTGGCCAATGCTGGGCCGAGGATATAAGCTCGGAGCGGAGACGTGGCCGGCACTGCGGCGAAGACGCGGTTCCAGCTCTCGGGCGTCGGCCGAGCACAGCTCGGCACGCTCCTCGGGGCGGAGGGCCAGTCTCCTCGAGCGGGCACCTGGCGTGCTGCCGCTGCGCCCGCGGCACCCGAGGTGGCGGGCTGCAGGCAAAATGTTGCAGTGTGCCCCGTCTGCCTGGCTCTGACGATTCCCCAGAGGAGCAAACGAAGCGGGAGCAGCTGGTGCTCGTCAGGGGAAGCAGGAGGCGACGCAGCGAAGCGGGGCTGACCCTGTCTCGGCATTCCCAAGATAGGCATCGTGATCTAGGGATCTTGTGAGGTGGTCTGTTCATTAGATAAGCGGATGTTGTCGCAAAGCTTGACACGCCGCTTTGATCGGGGGCGATTGCTACCAGAAAGAAAACCATTCAAGGGGTGACTGCAATGCATGCATAGCGGCTGCGATATGCGCAGCTTGAGACATGTGTGAAGCAGCGGCGCACACTCACAAAAGCGTTCGCTGCCTTGTGCGCGCCAGACTCGTGATCTTGCGTGCACAAGAAAGCGCAGGCTTGGGTTCACTATGGGCACGCATGCAGTGAAGACCGCAGGATCCGTGCAAAATGCAAGGAACGTGTACACCTATACAATCACAGACCTGTGTGCACCACAAGCACGTGTACACAAAGGCCCGTGAACACCAACAGCTCACGTGTGCGTCAACCGCAAACACCCAGTTGGGCGCACACGCGCACAACACACACACACACACCTTGCGTCGGCGAGGCAGAGTCACTGCGCTGGCGAAGAAGCAAAAGGGGGCTGCCGTTCAGCGAAGTGTGCCACCGTGCAAGAGGGGAGGGGGATGAGACAGCGAAGCGACGGCCGAAGAGGAGGAGGAAGCGGGCCCAGGGCCGCTCAGGGGAACGGGTCGCTCCCAAGCAACACACACATTCACACACACGCACACCACACACGGCTTCGTGAATCACCATAGGCCCCCACACACCAAAGGCCCGTGCGAAGTCAAGAAGAGCACCGAGGCCCGTGCACAGCACAGGCCAGCACGTGAGCACAGAGCCCTGACTGGGCACACCACGAGCGCACGCAGCCCGCGCCAACCTGTTACACCAAACACGGGCGTGCGTCGCCAAAGAACCGCAGAAACGCGAACACCACTGGCCAGCGCACGTACGCGAAGACCTACGCTCACCGCGGCGCGCACTGGCCTGTGCACCCTACAGCGACAGTGACGAGGACGACGACGAACACGAGGACGAGGCTGGCGACGACGAGGACGACGACGGAGACGACGATAACGACGGAGAGGACGACGAGACGACGAGGACGAGGATGAATGCCAACGGCGACGACGACGTCCATGTTGCACGCCCGACGACCCCTGGCGCGCCACACGAGGCCAACGACGCCCAGGGCGAGGAGAATGGTAACGACGAGGAGAGAAGATGGAGGAAACGACAAGCAGGAGGCCAGGGAGGAGTTGGAAGAGCAGAAGATGAGGCATCAGTAATATAGAGCTACATGTTGGACTGGCAGCACGGCGGCAATGCACGATCGCAGGAGGACGGCAGTCAAGGAGGCTAGGACAACTGCGGGCAGGAGCCTGGAGGCAGGAAGACGCCAGGCACGAACATGAGATATAGGGAGGCAGCCGACTATGGGCAGGAGGAGGCGGCGGAGGAGGAGGAGGACGAGGAGAAGGAGGAGGAGGAGGACGAGGAGAAGGAGGAGGAGGAGGAGGAGGAGGAGGAGGAGGAGGAGGAGGAGGAGGAGGAGGGGGGGGGGGGAGGAGGTGGGAAAGGGGGTCGGCTACACGCAGGAGTGACCCTAGGCAAGAGCGACCTTCGTGCGCAGCCACCGCCCTTTGGGGACACCACCAGGCGCGCAAGCCGCTGCCACCACATCGCATTCAGCGATCGGGGGGCCCCATTGGACCCGCACCGAAGGTCACTGCGGCGAAAAATCACTCTTACGTGTATGGGGAGTACCGATAGTCGGGCTTGATTGGAGAGGACACGCGAGAGGACAGAAGACCCTTCCGAGGGCCACACTGCCGTAGGAACGCAGGAGGCTCGGGTCGCGAGACACAAGGCACAAAAGTACCCTTGATTTGGCAGGGTCGACCTACTAATCCGGGCCGTCTGTACCGCCACTCCCCGGACCTCTCCTAGGGGGCGTTCAGACGAGGATTTCGAGGGGTATGCAGCGGTGGCGACGAGGGCCTCCCAGGAGGCTCACAAATGGGAAAACGGGAGAAAGGTAGAGGTACAGTGGAGGCCAGTCCACAAGAAATCTTGCACAAGAGGAATCCCTTGATTTTCGGTGTGGGAACGTCTCGCTCTCCATGACAAAACAATCGAAACCCAAGAAACCCAGGGCACCCCTGGAGGTAAGCAGGGTGTCTCTTGGCATGGGCCCCCCACTGTAGTCGCGGGGGGGAGAGAAGCAGAGAGGGGGAGAGAGAGCACGCGAGTGCTGGCGAGCACCGAAGCGCCTGCTTCCGGGAAGAGGCCCCGGCCTCCCGGAGGGGCCTCCGACGCGCTTTTCTGCAAGAAGCCTCACGTAGCCTTATGTTGCCCCCATCGTACTTAACGCGGGATGACGATTAATACAAAACTGGGAGAGAGAACGATTCAAAACATAGTTTTCTGCTATTTCTGCATAATTTTCTGACTGGAGGAGAACGATTAAAAGAGATAGTTTTCCAGCCCGCGGCCGGTTTTTTCTAATCGTCATCCCGGGCGCCGCCGCGTGAACACGACCCCCAGTCATTTATTAATCGTCATCCTCCATTACAGTGGAGGCCAGCCCACAAGAAATCTTCCACAGGAAACCCAACCCTGAGACTTCAGGACATCCATTGATTTTTGGTGTGGGAACGTCACGCTTTCCATCGCAAAACCTTCGAAACCCAAGAAATTTAGGGCACCCTGGAGGCCAGCAGGGTGTTTCTTGGCATGGGCCTCCACTGTGAGGACCACATTCCAGACATGATGTCAAGCACCCCGAACAGGATCGAAACCGTGTCGGACGAGTACCGCCTCTCAGGGCCCGACGCGTGAAAAGCCTCCAGCTTCGGCACTTTATGAAGGGGCCCTGGGACACACAAATAAATACACATAAATAAAAGGATTCCCCACATTTTCCCATATTTTCTGGGTTTTGTCTTCCCCCCACTTCCCATATTTCCCATATGTTCTGGGGAATCGGCGATTAATTGTGTCTGTGTGTTTTGTCCCCTCCTGGCTTTAGTTTCTTGGTGCTCGGAATTCTCTCTGGGGATCAAAGCCAAAGTCGGCTGGAACATTACAAAAAGAACCTCTGGGAGATGCCCCTGGGCCGCGGCGCGAAGCCCCGGGGGCCCCGGGGAAAGGAAGCCCCGGAGGCCTCGGGGGGGAGGCCTCCCGGCTTGCGGGGGGGAGCCCTCGGGCTCTCTCCGGGCTGTTTTTCAGCATCGCGCTACAGAAGCACACGCGCCAGAGCCGGACCTAAACAGTGTTTTCCGTTGTGTTTTCGATGTGTGTGTGTGTGTGTTCGTTTTGCTCTACCTGTTCTCCTGTACCTCCCTGCCAAAATCGAAAATCAAAACACAGCCGAAGTCACGCAAAACAGAATTTAGGTCCCGCCCTGACACATACACACACACTTACTGTTTCCGTCGGCGGCGAGGCAGAGGCAGTCCGCACCGGTGCGGGGATAATCGGGGCAGCTGGTAGGCGAATTGTCCAGCGTGCAAGAGGAAGGAACGAAGACGAGGGGAGGAGGGGGGAACCGCCCAGACGTGGAAAAGTTCCGCGATGAGCAGGCTGTGAGCACACACACGCAAACGTTTGAAGGGAAGAGAGACACTCCGATTAGCCATCGGGCTCCTCAAATCACTGCCCGTCGTCGACCGTAACACCGTCAAGCTTTAGATGGAGGCCTCTGGCTATGCGAGAAAGCTCTTTGGGGGCGACCTCATGAGCTTCTGGGAGAGGCCTCGAAAGTAGCCTCTGGGAGAGACTCCTGGAGAGGCCCCAACGGCAGCGACGCACCTGCCCAAGAGAGCAGCCAGCAGCTTACCTCCAGCGACTTTCGGGCGCTATCTTTGATGGGCGTGGCAATTATCAACCCATGGGAACAATTCCGGAAACTGTCCCATGACAATCCAAACGCCTCGATGCTGGGGAGGTGTGGGCAACCCAGAATAGGACTGCAAATGGGACGTCGACCATCCAAACAACCGCATCGTGCCGTCATTGCAGCAGCCGTGTGCCAAAACATGCGCGCAGGCGCGTCGCCAGGCAACGCGATGGTACTATGACTCACCATGCACGTGGAACACATATCGTTGGTATCAAAATCACTAACAAATGCGCTCTGCACCAGGCAAGCACATACCAATAGCGGGAATATGGGCACGATCAGTCGCGACTGTAGAGCACACTGTTTGTGCGAGCAGCACTGCTTAATTCGAAGACAAAGACCCTGTGTACGTGTAGCACAAAGAGATGGGAGCAAAGCAGGTCATCGAGGTACCAGTAGTAAATGCACTTATGGCATACGCGGTCGGAATACTCAGGGTGATGACAAAGAACCCAACCAAGCTCACCAACATGCTCTTGGTGTGAAACAGCATGTACGCGACGACGAACAACATCGAGCCAGCGGCCAGGTACAAGTCGCTGAATAAGCTTGTCATGATCTGCAGAATCTTTCATGACACTCAAACCTACATGACATTCGAAGGCCTGGCGATCAAGATCCACCAGCCCTGGCAAGCCCGGGCGATGGGACATCAATGGCGCTGCTGTGACTGAGGCGCTGGACAGCCCTGGAGAGCAGCCAGCGCCAGGAGGACCCCGATCGTTCTCCTCGGCGGCAGCCACACACGGCGGCCGCCGGGACCGCACCCCGCGCCACACGACGCGCCATCCCGCCCGCGAGTCCCCGCGAGGCCTCGGGAGGCCCGAGGAGGAGGAGGAGGAGGAGGATGCGGAGGAGGAGGAGGGGGGGAAGGAGGAGGAGGGAGGAGGAGGAGGAGAAGAGGGCCTCTAAAGGCCCCCAATCCTTGTCCTCGCCCCCTCCTCCGCCCAGGCCGACCGTCTGCGCGTCGCCGGCATCCCACAGGAAAAGGAAGGCAGCAGGGACTCGCCCTGTTGCTCGCCGCCGCAGCAGAGGCTCGCAATTCCTTTCCGAGGCTTCGTTTGCGCTTCGTTTTCCTTTCATTTCGCCTTGCCCCCCCCCCCTCCCAGCGCCCTGCACCGCCTCCGAGCCCTCGTCGCCGACCTCCCCGTCGTTCTCGCCATCCTCGCCATCTGCGCGTCTTCCGCGCCCTCCCGCGAGCTCAAAATTCCACTGGCGCCGCTCCCCGCAAGACGCCCTGCCGCGCGACTCCCTCCTGGAGGGATCCTCCTCCTCCTCCTCCTCCTCCTCTTCTTTCTCCTCCTCCTCATTTTCCTTTTCCTCCTCCTCCTCCTCCTCCTCCTCCTCCTCCTCCCCCCCTTCCCTCACCCTCCTCCTCCTCCTCCTCCTCCTCCTCCTCCTCCTCCTCGTCCATTCCTTCTCGTTATACATAACTCCTCTCTGTCGCACCCCGAGGCCAGCTTCTAGGGCTGGCCGGGCGTTTCGCCTGAGACTTCCTCACCATTTATTGTTCTGAAGCTTGAGAAATGACAGCAACTTTACAGATGGAGGGCGGATGGTTTTTAACATTGGGCTCCCGCCTTAGCGCCGCGCGCATTGCTAGAGCTTCACGGATTGAGGGCGGTCGCTTTTTCAAAGCGTGGCTCTCGCCTTAGCGCCGCGCGCATTCGTTTTAAACAATTGCAAGTTTTTCATGGATTGAGGGCGGGTCGTTTACAAAACCGCCTTCGCGCCGCGCACATTCGTTCTAGGCAATGCAAGTGTTTCACGGATTGAGGGCAGGTCGTTCTTTTAATGTAGCTCTCGCCTTAGCGCCGCGCACATTCATTTAAGCAAAGTGCGTGCAAGAGTTTCACGGGTTGAAGGCGGTCCCTTGTCAAAATGTGGTTCTCGCCTTCACGCCGCGCACATTTGTTTTCAACAATTGCAAGTGTTTCACGCATTCACATGATCAGCGTACCAGGGATTGTGTTCGGGAAGGATTCTGGATTATGCGGGCGCAACAGTTACGTTTATTCGCTGTGTTGACGTCCCAAAAACGGCGTTCTGGCACGATTTGCGATCGTGAAGACGCAGCAGTCAGGTTGATGCGTGGCGTTGGCACCCTTCTGGTTCTTCAACTGTTGTCGCATGCTTCTGGATCTTCAAAATATTGTCTTCCCAGGAGGCAGTTCCCTCAATGGAAATGAACCGTTGCAAGGCCCTATGAGGAGGAAGCTTGGAAGGAGGGTTAATTCCAACTTCGTTGATGACTCTTGGGTTTCCACTGGTCCTCCTCCTCCTCCTCCTGGTCTTCGTTCTCCTCCTCTCCCCATCTACTCCCTCCTCCTCCACCTCCTCCTCGTCCTCCTCCTCCCCTCCTCCTCCCCTCCTCATCTACTCCTCTCCTCCACCTCCTCCTCGTCCTCCTGCTCGTCCTCCTCGTCCTCGTCCTCCTCCTCCTCCTCCTCCTCCTCCTCCTCCTCCTCCTCCTCCTCCTCCTCCTCCTCCTCCTCCTCCTCCTCCTCCTCCTCTTCCCCCTCCTCCTCCTCCGCCTCCTTCTCCTCCTCCTCTCCCCTCCTGCTCCTCCTCTCTCCTCC